TTAAGGTCGTGACACATGTGTCAGGGGACAAACTGTTTTTGTACCCCCAACATACAGCCTCCATGCAGTTTTTTTTTTGGGGGGGGGGGGGGATTGGCATTCACATTTAACTTTTGTATTTGATCTAACAAAACTCATGTTTGTTACTTTGATTGCAATGAGCATTCCAACAAATGTATTCCAGTAGTTCCATGACATTTGTTTAGCTATACACGTCTTGCAACTTTTCTTGCAACTTTTGGTAATTTTTCCCGCAACTTTTTGCAACTTTTGCTATTTTCAAATGCAAATTTCTCTTAGGACTAAATTAGTGTACACCTAAGACCCACAGTCCAACAGATGGATGAGTACTTTTCTATGCTCCTTTGTAGACATCTAAATGACCTTGGGTTGTCATCTACAAATGTCAGAAGAAGCGCTACTTTATCTGTTCACCTTTGACACGGAAGAAGATTTCAGCAGATGGAACAATGACGCCACTGAAATGTGATGTACACATCTGGGTTGTGTAATCTGCTGTGGCTTATTTACCAGTGCAGCTTATTTATGAAAAAAGCTCAGATATTTTTTAGAAATTGTGGGTGCAGCTTTTATGCATGTGCCCTCAATGGCCTGAACTTTACAGTTCCCATTTTTTTAAAAATTATTTATTTATTTATTTATTTATTTTTGATGGTGTCATGCTATTAAACTTCTAATATTTTTTTTCCTGCAGCAAAAGTACTTTGATTCGGGGGATTATGCTATGGCTAAAGCTAAGTTGAGTGCAAAACAGAAACCACCACCTCCACCAGAGAAGATCATCAAAGCTGAGGCTGTTGGTGAGACGATTCCTACACCAGAAAATATTCAGGCACGGAAACCATCATTGGTGACCAGCAAGTTAGCATCAGGAGAGTTGATATGATTTCCCCTCAACTTCGTGCTACGGTCAACCATTCCTAGGAATGGCAATTTGTATATGAATATGTTGCTATCCCAACCAAGATGAGGCAGAAACAGTTGTGGGATACCCTTAATAAACATTGGTTATGAAGTACTGCATCCTCCTGTTAATCTATGTTTTGCATCATGGCCTATTAAAAAGTATTACTTGAAAAAAGAGCTGCAAGTGAGGTTTTCAGATAGTTTGCATCTGATTTTTATGTAACTGAGCAGAGAATCTCCACATTTTATTCTCTGTGTTGAGTCACTGACATGTCATGAGCTGTTGTGTAGTTTCTTATTACCAATGTGTTAAATTGGTGGTCAGAAACACATTTTTACAGATCATAGTGTGAATAAGTCGCCATCGTTATACTGTTTGAATTGCTCCTGGTTTTTCAAATAACTTATATGCCTCATTTTGGTTGAGAAATGTGAATTTCATACCACCTTCTGCTAGTGTACAAGTATGTGTATTACTTTTATTAGCACAATGCCCACTCAGGATTTGGTTGTATGAAGCGGATGTAGTTCTGTGCATTGGTGTCCCAGTAAGATAGAATGATCTTCACTATTTAACCAAAGGTTATGTACCATTTTGTGCCAGTTAGAAGCCCTGCAGCTTTTATTTATTTATTAATTTTTTGTTTGTTTTGTTTTTTTGTGATTGGGCCATGAATTTTTTTCCTGCTGCAATGTCCCCTAAAAAGTCTCAAGTGAAAAATGTTGCGAACAAAGAATGAATGGTTCACTATTAGTCATTCTCACCAATCTATTGAACTATGTGATCAGGCAGCAATGGGTCACACATTCAGACATGAAACAGTGCCTGGTGTTAGAAAATCAACCTATTCTGCATTGTTATGGCTGAAACTTAAAAGAAGTGAATGACATTAGTCTTCTAATGTCATGAAAACTATTTAAAAAATTAATTTACTTTTTACTTTGTACCTGTCAGGATGCTTATCAAACCTTTTTACTATCTTGAGGGCAAGCTCAGTTTTTCACTACATGTCATTCACCATAGCACATACGTTTGTGGTGTAATTGTCCTTGCTTACTGTTTTTAGAAAATGGTTTAAGCAGGGTGAGTATTTGCAGTCCTACCATGGATTGTTTTTCTGTTGTTGTTTGTAAGGCTAACACATTCTTCAAGAGTGCTCCATGGTACCCAGCACTGATTTCCATAAGCCCTGTTAATTGATTTATGGGAATGGAAGGTAGCACCAATGGTGTGGCTCAATGACAAAAAAAATGTTTTGAAAGCAAGATATGCTGAAAGTGGCAGCTGTCACTAGTATATGACAGAGTGCTTTAAGCCACAGCTTTAGGTCTTGGGTTGTTGACTGCAAGTCGAATGTGTATGACAGCAAATCAAATTTATGGAGATTGAAGTATTTGCTTCATGAGAGTCATGAACACTTCCCTGTGTATGCATATTGATACTGAATATTGTCTGTTTTCCATAACCCTGATCTTGAATCATCTCAGTAATTTACCAGTGCTTTTTTCCTCTGTAGGAAGTGAGGATGGATCGTATAGTCTCTGATTCTAGTGCCTGCTAGAGTTATATTTTAAAGCTTGTATATATGAAGAAGGCTGAAGAAAAAGAAGGTCTTTTGTTTGCGATTTAGGTGTTTGGAACTTCAGTGCTAAGTTATTGCTTGTAACAAATGAGAATCATTCAACCAAAGATTTTGCAATTGGCATGATATTAAGAAAATCAAGATGTTTGGGAAAATGTACATGTCTGACATCACTTTTTAGTTTGTTGTGTATTAAATTGTCAAACTGAGTTGTGAGTCGAGTACTTCATGGATTACAATTTATTTTCATTTTGATTCTGTTTAAAAATCAAAGATTATGAGTTTATTTGAAAAGATGGAATTAATCCCTTCCATGCGAAATTATTTTCTTAGAGTAGTTTTGATTTCCCAGGGGGCTCAGTTTTCCGTAGGGTAGCTATGCATTTTTTAACTCGCTGTATGATCAAGTACAACATGAAAGAAATGCAACAGGCAGAACTGCTCACAGAATCACATGATAATGAATTTATTGGGTGGAACGGATAGGCTCGGGGAGGGAATAGTTTCTGTCAAAAGCGTTAGCATATCACTAGTCGTGGGGTAAATGAAAACTAGAATAGAAGACTATACCTTTGGTCATGCCATACTCTTTATTTTGCGATGTGCGTAATCTGTATATGACTCCCCTACCTTAATTATCCGTGATAGGGACGTCCAACTTCAGCAGTCTGTCATTGATCTTCAGTTGACATGTATGTGTATTGTGAACATTTAATGTTTAAATTGTTATATAATTTGTTCTTTTTTTTTTTTCACTTATTTCCTTTTTTTTGGTTACTTTAAAACCCAATGCCCGACTAAGGCCGCAACCATATTAATGCCTGACACCGATGGTCAGACCAGACCGTCTTCGGGCGCAAAAGAATGCGCACCGGCTCTTTAGTAATGGAAGGTAACAAAAACGATTTCGGCTACCATACTGACGCCCTACGTCCTGTGTCGTCCCCGGTCAGACCGTCTCCGATAAAACATGTTCTATCGACGACGGTCCGTCGGGCGAGATGGGAGGTAATTTTATTGATGTTGTCTCTGCATAGTTGTGTCCCCTTTCCCGCCTCAATGACACAACACCATAGATGTACACTATAGGTTTAAAAGGAGGTAACTCTATGCGCTGCACAGAATTCTAGCAGTTCTTGTCAGCTCTGCATATATCTCTAACAGTTCATTGAAACTGCTATGTTTCATGCGATAGTATTGTTGGAAATTTCACTATCTTCCAACAACGGTGGAAACAAATGATGAAATTCACTTACTGTATCACGCTTTCTTTGGATGGGATGCGCTGAAAATTTTCTTGTCTTGTTGTTTTTCTTTCCTTTTTTTGTCTGCGTCTCAAAAGCAGCAACAACAACACTTTTTTTCTTCTACCGCACGCCATATTTGCAAGACGGCGGTGTCTGACCGCCAAACTCCGGTGTTAATATGGTCGGCTGCACCCGACGGAAAACGGCGGGTCTGGTCTGTCTGTCGGTGTCAGGCGTTAATATGGTTCTACCCTAAGCCTTAGACACTGCACTGCACTTTTCAGTTTTGTGCTCTTTTTATTGTGTTTATGGAAGATTCTTGTAACCATCTGCGCTTTTATTTAAGGTTAAGTATAATAAGCCCCCTGACTTCTGACTTAAGTAATGTGCCTCAGTGTGCATGGTTTTATAGAGAGAATAAGAATAAGGTAGAAGATTGCATGGTTTCACAGTTCAGTATGTATTTCACAGAGCTGTCACTATATATTTTTCTTTGGCTCGTATCTTTTATGAAAGTATTGTTTTCAGTTGTGAATATTAATCATACCAGCTTGTGTGTGTGCAATGATTTTCCAACATAAACTTCTTAGTCTACAAACTGTCAAGTTGCTAGTGCTTGGCCCATCACTTTATCAGCTATTAGTTCAGTATCTTAGGGTCTGTTTTCTTGTGCAGATAGAAAAGTGAAATATATGGTGCTCTACGAAACAATGAAGTTGTTTACTTTCTACACAAAGATAGGCTTTGACAGAATCAGTTTTTCTACAAAGAAATTCAATTGATCTGTAGCAGGATCTGATTTTTTGTAGCTACATGAAGATTTACAGTTAACTATTGGTTTGCCAAAAGAATTTTTGATAATTTTGTCTCAACTATTTTTCTTCCTCAGCTATTGTTTAAGATTTGATCTCCATGACCTATTTTTGTCATGATGTTGCCTGTCAACTTAATGTTGAGACTAAGCTTTGAGCAACGTGAAAGCTTGCTATTTTTTATTCGAACATTTTGAATTCCCCTATGATCAGGAGCTTATCTTCTTACTCAAAGTTCTCAAATTTACTCTGCTTACTTCAGTACAAAGATAAATATAGATATTGGTGTAAAAGTAAGCCATTATATAATTGTCAGAAAACCACTTCCATGTGTAGTGCAAGAAATAAGTCAGTCAGTAAGATAACATTGTTCTTTGTTCTGTGGTTGAGTTTCCAGGACAGGTGGCATTCACTGTGTCAGCTGGTTCCTCTGCATGGTCATAATGTATAAAGTACTGGAGTATTGCTGTTTGCTTGGATGTGTTAAGGCAGTATGATTTTAAAAAACTGAATTACCCTGGATTGTTGGCTCAGGCCAGTAAGTGGGGATGTTATAGAAAACCAGTGTTCAATTTCACACTTAATCTTTCGTTGTTGTCAGTGTCAGAAGGGTGTGTCTTCCTCCCTGTTCCGTGAAACAAGTGGAGGGCGTACTTTTGTACTTTCATCAAAATTTGTATGATTTTTTTGTCCTCCATTAGCACCATGTTCACCTTCTTTGATGAATAATGTATTACCACCAAATTTTAATGTTTGTTAGAATGGCATTCTCTGTTATCTGTGCTTTTTGACGGGTCAAAAAAAACACCTTAGAATGGAAGTGTTGTATTTCATTGGCTTCGGTTACCTGTCTAGTCATTGGTATTTTTTCCACTTAATCTGTAACATGTTTCAATTGCTTGTGAAAGAGCGAGATTTAGGGGATATGAATTATTTTCAAGAATTTGTACCCTTGTCTTGTGTGGTGTTTGACCCGAATACTGTCAATGGGAGGCTGCCAGAATATCAGGGTGTTTTTGCAAAAAAGTATATGTATCAGACAGCATTTTATTTTCAGTACAAAGTAAATCAAGTATATATAAAAGAATGGTAATTGAACATAGATCATTATAAACCATGTATAACACTTGAAGAAAGTGAGTAATTTGAATTTTATATGATTTTTTTTGGTCAAGTAGGCCTATTGTGAAGATTTTCTCATTCTAAAATCTGGATGTTCAGTGCAACCTAAATTTCTGACAAATGCACATATTTATTTGAAAGAGGCTTTGAGTACTAAAGAGATACTATTAGTGTGAACACAATTTTAGTTAGTAAACGAGATAAAAAATGTGATCATGCTGATATCAAACTGGGTTTACCTTTATTCTCTCTGAATTTTCTTACATTGTCGTCCCAGTAAAGTTTCGTGAGTCAGCAGTGGTTCACATTGTTCATGGCACCATCGTACTTCACATGCTGGGCACCAGTGTCTGGTTCTTTTCCTGCCTTGGCGACCTTTGCTGCAGACATAACAATGTCTTTCCTTCTTTCCATCGAGAAGATAAAGTCTGTGTTCTGGATGTGGAGGCTCATGAGTGGAGGTGGTACTTCTTGATTTTCATACACAGCTTCAACCACTGACATCAGAAACTTTCCTACCCATTTTCTTTTCCTTTTGAACAGTCAAATTGTGAAAAATCCAAAAATTTAGCAGGGTCATGTCTAGAACATTTTCGAAAATCTTTTTCCAATACCCGTGAGTACTCTGTTCACCAGCTTTGTGATACATCATTTTGTCAGCTAAGTCCACTCCTCCCATGGCTATTGTAATAAAAAACCTTGGCTAGTTTTGTTTGAATTTTCCCTTTTATCTGTTTGGTTTCCATTTCAGCTTTGTGAGCAGTACTTGGCATAAGAACAGGTTCTTTTCTTCTGCCGATATGCCATTGCGATAGTTGTATCTCTCCTCTGAAATTTTACGTAATTGACCTTCAATTTTGCTTTAGACAGAGGCTTAGGAAAGTCTTTGTATTTACTCTCACTGTACCTGTTTGCACAGTCCAATGTGTCCACAGGAAATTTGCAAGTGCTGCCTTTGTATAAAAATTGTCTGTGAAAACATGATAACCTTTCTCTAGTGGGTGACTTTGCTCAAGTAGACTTCTGACAACTACAACGGCTAGACCATCATCTCTAATCACATACAGTTCTTTTCCAGCGCTAGCATATAGCTCAGTGTGAACAATGTACCCACTGGAATCACATAACTGAAATTTCTTTATTCCAAATCAGCTATGCCTCTTATTTGGCATATACAAGATGAACACACAGCAATTTTTCATGCCAATCATACTCTCGTCTACCGACAAGTTTCAATGGAACATAGAATTCTTTAGCCTTAGCATTGAATTTTCAACAGAAATGACACCTTTTGTCCTCTGGGAATTTCATCTGCGTTCCTGTTCAAATGCACCATCCAATTGGTGAGACTGGAAATCCAGAACAGCATGATGTGGGAGAAGTAGGGGGTGCTGATACAGTCACTGGTCTGGTAATCTGCTATTTTTCCCTTTTTGACGAGTCCCATGTTCAACAAAAGTCCTAAATAGTTTCAGGTAAGTCATTGAAATCCCCGTATTAGGCCTTTGCGTATAGTGAGATAGTGAGATGTTGGATGATCTCTCTCCCAATCGCGAATTTTTTGTGAATTCAGAAGTTCGCCAGCACAATGATTTGTTTCACGAAGAATGTGTTTCAATAATTCATCATCTAGAAACAACAAAAAGAAGTCAATTGGTTTATCAGAACCCACAGGAATATTTCTTAGCTGGCACTAAGAACAGACCTAACCGTAAACGAAAGTGGGAATTTCTCTCTTTCAATCTCTGCTTCAGGCTCAACTTCTCTCCATTCATCACCTGCAACTTGATCTACTAGGTCTAGATCTATATTGCTTTCTTCATCACCCCCATCACTGTTGTCAGTGTTGTCACATTGTCACTTATGTGTGGAATATCCGGGAAATCATCATCTGAATCACCACTATCAGGTTCTTCAAATAAAACAAACAAGCCTCTCCTTGAAGAGGTGTCACTAGTGGGAGGCCCTGGATCAGGACTTGCCATTTTTCATAAATCACGGACTCCAATATTCCCTGACTTTAGATGCTTGCCTTTCCAAAATTCCTGCTTCAGCCAGCTTTGCTTTGGCCTAAAATGAAAGTAGAAATACTGTATCTTGTTTAGGAAGAGTTGCTTCCTGTTTCCTCTACATTGCCAATTTTTTTTTCACATTTTTTCTCAGTGACCGATATAACCGGTCACAACATTCTGGTAACATCCCAGTGACTGATTTGGTCGGTCACTGACAGTATTTGGGTTAAAAATCTGCCTTCTGTTTTGTTTCAGAGTGATTGTTTTTGAATGAAAATGCTGGACAATTTTGTTTTGTTTCGTCCAATGTGAATGACTTCAAGCACATCTTGCTTTTTCTTTTTCCTCCTATGTTTATCTTACTATGGGTGGTTTTAAGAATGTATGTATTTGAAAGCCTTCAAGAGTTTATTGCATTGTAAGTATGTCTGTCTGTAGCCATTATGCCGTTTATTCTGCTTTTGTAGCATTAATGTACATCTAATATTTTGATTACGTTGTGTCATTATATTGTAATCCAATAATAATAAGTCTAAAGGGACCATTGGTACTATAATTTTGAGTCAGAGAATGACTGTTATAAGTTTTTATAATCCATTAATAATTTAGGTGCTTCATGGGTAGAATTGCTCAGAGATCCTGTTACTGTTAATATTGAAATTTTTCTTAAACTTTGTTCAGATTTGTTAACTGACTGAAAACTGAAACTGAACTATCTTAGTTTCCCAGTTTCAGCTAGATATGTCTGGTCTTTCTGTCTTTAAAACTAAACAATATGTGTGCGGCTCTGAGAAAACCGGTCCGATGGTGCGGAATTTTATTTTGAGACCGCCAAAAATAGGCCTTAGACTACATTTTTACTGAAAACGAGATTATATGAAATTTAGAAAGATAAACCATTTTTACATCATATAATTCAAGGAATTTGCTGAAATATGATTCTAGATATTGTTTAAGAATTATTTTGGTGGGCATTGTCGCCAAATTACGCAAAATTCCTAGTCAAACAGAGGGAATCTGTACTCAATCGGGTGGACACTTTGTTTTCACAGGAACCCCCATATATTATACCAAAAGAAATAATTTTATTGCCGTTTCGGGAAAACCCAGTGCGCATGAATATTTAAATGTCACAAATAGTTACAAGAGTTTCGCATCTTCTAGTTTCACTTCTGAGAAGGTTTTTTTCATGAGTGCTGTTTATCCTTCTTCTGTTCCATTTCTTGCCATTCAAACCAAATTTGAACTGTTCGTAATTGAATTAAAGTTCTTCGTTCTGCTCTGCAAATTCCCAAAATAAACAAAACTTTAAAACCCATTTTCTCAAAACTTCGCCTTCGGACCCCTGTGCTCTCTAAAATGCCATAACTTTTCTCAGAATGCTCTAATTGTATTCAAATAAAGTGCAAAATGCTCGGGAAAGGTGTGTCTTTCAAAACATGCAAAAAAGTCTATTTTGAACATTTGCACCATGTGAAGGGTTTTCTTAGTTTCAAACCATGTTTAACAAGGAACATTACCATAATCTAAATTCTTATACATTATTGCCTATCCACCACCCTCTTTTTTTTTGACAGAATAGAACAAGATTTGGTTAGGTTGTTTGTTTTTTTCCTATGTAAACTTAAAACTAGTCTGCTTTTAGAGATATAGATCAAGATTTACCATAGGTCAGGTTCCAGTATTCTTGAGATGAGTGAAGCAGAATTACTCTAGACACAAAGACTAATGAGAGATAGGTACATCTAATTTTCTATTCTATGTCTATATTTATATCCAGACTCAGTTCAATAGTAAGTAGTACCATCCAGACCAAAATCGCCCTTTTAAAAAAGCTCATTAAAAAATAAAACTTTGCTTTAAACCCCAATTTTTTCTAATGTATTGAACAGAAAAAATACATTTTAAATTCATTAAAGAATACGGAAAATCAAAGCAACAAGGGCTTTTCAAAAGTGTTATCGTTGGTCTCAGGTTCATTTCCAAATCTGAGTTAGTCTTGAGTTTGCGGCAAAGTACTTTATTTTGAAAACTTTAAATGTTTTTACATGTATCATGAAAAGTCTTTCCTTACACTCAGCTCAGTACCCCAAATGTTTTTTATTGTGATTTTTTAGCTAGCTCATCAGGTTATATGATTTAATTTTTCTTGGGATTGTGGAGTTAACGATTAACTTTCTCGTGACAACTTTTGACCATAGAGTCAAATATAATGAGTCAAGATGCTATCCCCCTGTACAATGTATGCCCTAAAATGGACCATAGGTGATTTTATGACTGTACTACAATAGCTTTGAGCAGAATTTCATTGGCAAAACTAATTAAAGCTTCGAATTCTGCAGTAATGAAAAGGTACGAATCACATTTATCTTTAATTTTGAAAGGGACAGCAAAATGGCTGAAACTGCTTACTGTCATGGCTAACAAAGATTGGGCACATTGAAAGTTTTTCTTAACTTACATCGTTAAGGGGTTGAATTGCTAGAAACCAAAACTTGTTGAGGTTTTAGTCTACCGGGAACATTAAAGGTCTTATTTAAAGATCGAAGATGCAGATTTGAAATGAAATTATGTACACTTTCGGAAATCGACAGATGTATGTTTTGTATTATTTATTAATACAGTCTTTGTCTGTGCAGTGGTACCCCTGGAATGAGATGCCAACTCAGTGACAACATATCGAACAGCTTATTATAAAGCCTACTCATCATCATCATGAGGCCAACAGGGTTTTCCCACAGCACACACCTTTGTTGTAATTGGGAGAAATGCAGGTCAACACTTTCGTCAGCCATTTTTAACCTTTGACCACATATCCAAACCCATGAGGTTTCCCAGTTTGGTTTTCATATGACTATTGGTAGAGTGCATGGACTTGATAAAAAATGACCCATGTGCTGTTATAATAATAATAATAATATGATAACAATAATAATAATGCAAGTAAAATACATAATGTTCCCTGGGCCAAATGGCTGTGTAAGTGTAAGCAGTGAGTTCAATAACCGATTAGGCCCCACCTACATAAGGAACAAAATGCAATAAATTTTAACTAAGTGAAGTAGCTTTGGTCATAGGCTTACAGTCCTCTATTGTCTCTGTTACTGGTCACACCTTTCTTTCATTTTCCAACATCAATGTTGATTCTGAAGAAAAAAAAGTCAAAGGGCAAGTTGTCTGGTATCATCACCACTATAGAAGTGAGTACAGTGGAACTCGGATTCAACGAGAACTCGGATTCAACGAGAACTCGGATTCAACGAGAGGAGATAGATTCCCCCCTTTTTTTTTTCTTCTTTAAAATCAATGAAAATAACCCTGATTCAACGAGCACTAAATCAGCAATCTTGGATTAAACGAGGTCGCTTCTAGGGTGAACAGTCCCCACAGACGTGGCTTTGCTCATTTTTCTCCCAGAACGAACTTTATCTTTTCCCGGAAACCATCCATTACACCTGCATCGTGAGCCATTATTCACTTCTTAGCCGATTGCATGTGACCAATCAGCGGTCTTCTTTAATATCAACACATGCGTTGTTGGCACATGCACGTGTCTACTCTGGCGTGTGTCGGGGTCGGATGGGCGGCATGCACACATGTGACAGTGTGTGCGTATCGGGGGGGGGGTCACTAGCAGTCCGGGCGTTGAACGTCCCTGAGATACAAACGCGTCAGTCTTTTTTTGCCCCTCGGCAACTGATCATTATTACAATGATAAGCCAGTCTTGACGTACATCTATGTAATGAATGGCCTGTAATTATCTACACAAAACCTCGTGTTTGCTATAACGAAGACTCGGATTCAACGAGATTTTAGGTCAGACCCGGCGACCCCGTTGAATCCGAGTTCCACTGTACCATGTTGTTGTGTACTGGGAAAGCAATCTACGAGAAGCTAGAAGGTGATAAGATTAATTTTTTACTAAATCTATGGAAAAATTTTTGCTAATTTTAATACTGACAGTGGTCTCGGATTTCCTGGACTGAAGGTGAAGCGTCATCTTTTTAACAGATCTTCTTTGAAAAAATATATTCAGTACGGTTGCTTTCGATGCTGTTAAAAAAAAAGGTAGAGGTTGAGATAATTGAATTCTAATACGTAGCAATATTGTAGGCCTATTAGCAGTTTTTCATTGATATTCTGTGAAAATGATATAATTTTATGTTTTGTATGTTTAATCTTATGTCTTAAGTGGCAGAATGAACCAGGTTTCCTGCAATAGTTGCTTCATGTTAACATTGTTGTTATCCATCTCCCAGTTTCCACCTTGTCACAACATGAATTTCATGGTTTGATAGCATAGAGCTATCTTGTAAAAAAAAGATATTCTGTATATATTATAATGAACATTTTATGTTGGGTGTTTGTAAAGCCATTCACACTGATAAATCTCATTTGCTGATCATACAAAGTGTAAGAATTGAAAAAAAAAGGTATATTTTCTGTGCAGTTGTTTCAAAACACTGGTTGAAAATAAAGCAAATGAGTATATTAATTCAGTGTGTTATCATTTGTCTTGAATTATTTTAAGTTCAGTGTGTAGTAATGTGCATCGTACATGTTATGTGGTAGCACTCTGCCACTGTTCCAAATGTCAGATCTCTGGCCTATGCTGCAAGAAATCCTCATCAGAAAGGATGGACTCCATCCTCCTCAAATCGAGCACGTCCTCAGTCCTTATTTGTTTGTAATTTTTGTTTGTTTGTTTGTTTCAAGCCCTGATTTTTTTTTTTTTTAATGTTTGCCAGATGTTAGTTTAGTAACTATTATAATTTAATAAAAGGTTGTTAGACATTGTTATCCTGGAAAAGTCACTTGAATGTTCAGGCAAAATGCAGTTCGAACTAAAAATGTAGGCCTACCATAAAGAACATGGGTCTCAGTAGTCCGCTATTTAGCGGATTTCCGCTACCGCCATTTCCTCCGCTAAACTCCGCTACCGCGACAGCGGGCCAATCAGAAAGAGAGTTGTTGGGAGCAGGGTGGTTGCCAGGTCCCGGGAATTTTAAAAAAATCGCCGAGCCCTGGGAAAATACATAAAAGATCTCATTTGAAAACCAAATTCAATAACGTCTTTAAGTTCATTTCTACCGGTCGCGATTGTGATATTAATTCGGCTCAGAGAGTACGTTTCGCGCGAACTTGTGGTTTTGGCGGCAAGCGGAATTGTCACCAAGGTTCGACTGGAAAATCAAGATCTACTTTCGCTTTCGTTACCACCCAGAAATTTGTCAGTAATTGTCTGATATTAACGCAACAATTATTGTAACATGCAGGTTCGGCATTACAAACGTGGTGTCGCCATGAAAATAAATCAATATTTGTCACTGTGCCATCACTTATGGGGGCAACAAAAAGAAAAGAAAAGAAAGTTATAATACAAGCGTCTTGCCGGGCTCGCCATTGTGGCCGGTCAATGAACCTGCGCGCGTTCTAAGTAATCTGAGCGCTTCGAAGTACAGGACTCAGGAATGGGGGGAGATTATTGATTTTTTTTTTTAAAGACGCACTCGTGGATAGGGGGGAGGGCTGGACGCAACACCAGAAGACAAAAATTCTGAAACTGGAAGCAAATATGTTTTATGTTTAGAATTTTGATTACTACTACAGCTCTCTGCAAAGTAAAGTGTGCGTTGGTGCAGGCCTTGTGTGAAAACGGGAACCGTCATAACTTGTAAGCCTGTTGTGGAACTTGGGGGCCTAAGTGTTCGCGCTTTATTGGATTGGTGACAGTAAATTAGATCTCTATATTTTAGCTTTCTATTCAAGATTCGCAGATTTTCAGTTTCATGCATCTTGCCCTCCCTCAATTCTTTCACACCTCTCACACTGAAAAGGTATACTTGGGCTATACTTCTGTACTTTGAGCATTAATTTTTGTCTTTCACGTTTATTATATATAGGCCTATGATATGAATCATGACCATCGATATTCTGGTTCTAGGCTCAAAACAAGATTCATTTTATAAAGTTTATATATACAGACGAATATGATGAAGAGAAAAATTAAAAAGTCGCACAAGACCGCAGGCGCCACCACTTTCTGTAGAACCAGAAGTAGGTTATGAAATGAGTTACTTTGCTGCTGATGTTGTTTCAGTGGCAGCTCTTGAAGATGGATGGCAATAGTTGCACAGCATTATCATGATCAATATCATGGGCTGGCTGTTAAAATTTAAAAAATACTAAGTACAAAACCCTAACAGCCAAAATTTTCAGGAGACTGAAAAAACGTATTTCCTTTTTTAACACGTGGTACCTTTACATTATGTTTATTTTTTTCCTTGCTTTTTTTAAACATTTAGATTTTGATTTTTGACAAAATATTTATTAAGTATATGTTACCTAAACAGCATTAATAACCGGCAGAAAACAAAAAGTTTCTCATATTTTTTGGCCTAGTAGTACATTTAACAGCTGGGCGACTGTATTAAGTATTTTGATGGTACATGATATTGAAATGATGATGAGATCTATGAAAGTATTGAAAGCGATGATAATGCTGTTTGTTAGACGGGCTGGGCACAGCTGTCTTTGCCGTTCCTCGCATAGAGTAACCAAATTCTGAAGCTAAAAAATCATCAACCTTTTAATAAAGGTATGCCAGAATATCACGTTGGGGCCGCTTCTATTTAATGACTGTGCTACTGTGCTAGTACAATAACAATCAAACGGTGACTGGCAAACATTATGGTCAATTAAATTTGAAATGCGACAAGGACACCCTCAGTTCTATGAAACATAATTTGGAGGCATCCAGGGAAGATTCCTATTACCACTCAATTATTGATGCATTTGAACTGCAACTGCAAACCGACGATTCGTCTGATCTGTCCATAGCGGCATAAAGACACGAACCCAGCCATCAGGGTATATTTATTGTGCCCAGGGTCTTTGCCTTTGCACAGTCAACAGGCCTCGCCACACAGTTTGCTGATAATGTAATTGGGAAGCGCTGAAGTGCAGGAGAATATTTGCTGATACATTCATGTGGTGAGAACAATTTCAAACTCCAGGAGACGGAACGTTTAGTACATTTTTGTATAGACTTTACTTTCATCTAAGCCTCTAGACAAGACATTTTTGGAGGGGGGGGGGGGGGGGGGAGTTCTTTTTGGAGGGGGCTTCAACAGAGCTAGTAGGGTGAGCTAGTCATTATCATAAATTCT